ATCACCAAGATGGCCGCCGGCAGGTATCAGAAGACTGCCGCGCGTGCGCGATGACATCATCGCTCATGCGTGCGGTGACGTCTCGGCGGGGTGACACTCGGTTACCGCTCTGGGTGTCACCCCAGAGCCTCAGGACCCCCTCTGCCGTCGCCGCCGGTCCCGTAATCAGGTGTGCCTGGTGCGGCAGGGACCGGCACGGTGACTCTGTCAGTTGGGAACAAAGGGAGCTCAGTACACGATCACCCTTTGATCTCTTCTCGGTCCCTGAATGAAGGAAGTGATGCATATTACATCACTTCCTGCATTCAGTGTCACTCTCCCGCTACAGATGGCGGTCAGAAGCTACTGAAGCAGATCTGTGCTTCATCAGCTTCTCTGGGGTTCCCTAGGTGACATTAGGGGTCTTAGAGGCCCCCGATGTCTCCCTAAAGAGGACCAGTCATGTGAATTGGCTATCACATAGGGGTTTCTCAGCCCCCCATTCGATGGCAATAAAGTTAAGTATTTAAAAAAAAAAGGTTTTAAAAAAATTAAAGCATTAAAAAAATAAAGCATAAAAAAGTCACAAATATTTTTTTTTAATAACCCAAATTTTTTTTAAAGTCCCCCCCCATACACAAGCAAAAATGCGTCGGGTGCGCCTACATGCAAAAACGATGATTCCGCCTATTTGCCGCACATGTTACATATTACTGCAAACGTCGCAGTGAGCGCAATAATTTTAGGGCCATTAACTGCTGATAACACTAAACTGATGACCGTCGCCTATGGCCAATTTTGGGTGTGGTCGTTTTCTGCAATTTTGCAGGCGCGCACAATTTTAAGGCTTGACATGTTTGGTGTCTATTTACCCGACGTGAACCTGTCTTTTATATTTTACCAAAAAATGTGGGTGATAATAAATGTTTCATAACATTTCATAGGGGAAAAAAACAAAACAAATTCAAAATGTTCAGTCCTTTTTTCAGTATATAATAAAAAATAAAACTCCCCCAGTGGGGATTAACCTCCTGCCGTCCGCCCGTTGTGAAAAAAGGGACGGAAGGCAGACTCACACGGGCTGGTTGCAGTCATCAGACGGCATTTTTTCCAGCTCGCGCCCCCTAGCGCATGCCCACGGCAGAAAATGTTGTGATTTGTCCGCCCATCCCCCCCACTCCGCCCCGTCGAGTGCCGCAGCCGCCGCCTGGAGTGCCCCCCTCCTGACTCCTCACCTTCAATCCCAGGATCCGCTAGCCCATGTGCGGCCCGAGACCGGCTCGGGAGGGTGTCAGGAGGTAAGATGGGAGGGCGTTTAGCATCTTCCTCCTTACTGATCTCCCTCCGTGCTGTGAATGCAGAAGAGATGTGTAATACATCACTTCCGCATTCACCTGTCAGTCATCTGGCTGCTATAGCCAGAGAAAGAAGCTGATCTGTGTGTTTAATCAGCTTCTATTGGGGTCCCCAGGTGACATTAGGGGTCCTAGAGACCCCTAATGTTTCCATAAAGAGAACCTGTCAGTGTGCCTTTGCTATTATATAGGGGAATTGTTATCTCCCCTATGTGATAGCAATAACAATAAGTGTAAAAAAAATATATA